TTTCCCCTCATATTCAGATGAATCCTACCATGTTGAGGTATGTTATGTCCAGTTATTAAGTTTTTCACAGCTTGCTATTGTTTGGGGACATTGTAATGTATAACAGGGGTATCAAACTCTGCTGACCAGTTGAGTCATGTGGAGCCAGTCTGTGGGCTGGATGAGTGTCATGAGGCTGGTCTGAGTACTGGATTGAGCCCACAGACTGGGCCCATGTGCCACACACATGCTGGACCTAGTACCATGCACCATATGCAGCATGCAAGGGTGGTAGCATGCACAGTATGCAGCATAAAGGTCCAGTCTGAGACCCACCGACCAAATAATAAGTCTCTGTGGGCCATATCTTTGACATTGCTAGTATATAGGAAACAATACTGTAAAAATATATTATTTAAGTTTTAAATGCACTATTCTATGTTTGACATTGATATCTTTTCTTTGCAACTGTCTTCTGTAAACATCATACTTGGCAAATGACTGAAAATGCAAATCTTGCTACTTTTACAAGTTTTTTTTTCCCCGTGGATCCTCCATTAATAAGAATACAACACAAGGGAAAACACAATATAGGATTTTGTAAGCTTAATTATATGCTAAAATCTATAATTATCTTACAATATTTTCCAGAATATGCTAAAAGTAATACAGACAGAGGAAAACCCTATTTTATTCAGTCAATTTCTTCAGTCCCTGCTTTAAATGCTTTAAAATCAAAATGCATACAAAATAAATGAATGGCAGATAAAAGGAATGCAATGTGGTCTCAATGATGATGACTGGCATACGTCATGTAAACTTAATGATTTACTTTTTTAGTGTAAGGAGGAAGAAATACATACACAAAATGCCAACCTGAAGCAGTCAAAACACACGAGTCAGGATGCCAGCAACTCATGAGATTGTCTTTAAAAAGTCATGAGATTTTCAAATATATTCTTTCTTTCTTTCTCTTGAACCTTTCTTCTCTGTTACCATAAGAGCTAGAAACTTACATCTATTAATTTAAAACTGAGATGCTCAGGTAATTAAATCACTTCAGGAGAGTCATTTAGGAAAAACACCAAGAATTGCTGGTCCCATTGTGAAATCACAAAAGTCATTATCAGTGTACACTGCTGAATCATAGACATCATGATAGAAAAGGACTTGGAAGAGATTTGAAAAAGGCTCTTGAAGGTACAGGTGAGTGAATGAATTTAAAGATGTGGCTATGAAAAGGATCAAACTCTAGGTGGGGAAGAGAGTGTGGAGGACTTCAGTTTTAGACATGTTAGGTTGAATTGATTGTAAGACATTTGAGGAGGAAATAAGAGAGAGAGGCAATGACATAGATTTGGAAGGAGAGAAGGTCAAGAATGGAGCAGCAGATTTAAGAATAAGCTGCAAAGCAATGGCATATAAAGCCATGTAAGAGGATAAACCCACTACCAAACTGAGGATGCAGAGGAAGAAGAATGGAGGGCTGAAAAAAACTGGGAAATATATAGTGGGTACAAGAGAAAGTACCCACAGAAAGAGATGCTGAATGAGCAGTAGGGTTGACATGCAAAGAACCTAGAGATGGCAACAATGTAAATGACAAAGGAAGATACAGTGTCAAATATGAGGCATTGATTATAGTTTCAAGTTCAGGTGAGGGTTCAAGATTAAGGGTGAAGTGCTATTTTAAACTCTTGGGCAGCAACAAGTTATTGAAAACTTGGATGGAGAAGAACTTGATGCATATTTGTATATGGTAACAAAGATGCAAAGAATTGACAACAGACAAGAAAAAAGAGAGAGAAGTGTGCTTAAAAGAGAAGTAAGGAATATTGCTAGATTGTAGGCATTACAAGGCTCAGATCAGTAAGAGTGGGGGCTATAAAGCTGAGTAGCATTGACATAGATGAGGTCAAAAAGTATCAATTTGATGATGAGAGGAGAAAGAGCAATTCTTAGTGAAACAAAGCAAAGGTAGCAATATTTCTTTTTTTGTATCTGAGAGACTGACTGAACTGTGAGGCTAAGGGGTTAGATGAGATGAAATTGTTTAGGGTGGGGAAACTGAGATCAGAAAGACACTCAGATAATGAAGTCAGAGGAAGAAGAACAATTTGGGGGGTAGAACAGATTATTTGACAAATAATTCAAATATGTTTTCAAACCATAAAAAAGCAAATTATACTTGATATATGTAAATTACTGAGTTCTATTCACCATTTTTCTATTTCAGCTATTAAAGATGTTTTCTTGCACAATAATCCATGGGCATGTGACTGCAACATGAAATCATTCATTCACTGGCTCTCACAAACCAAGGCCAATGTATTTCCTTTTGAAGATCTAAGGTGCAACTTTCCAGTAGAAAATAAAGACAAAGCAATTCACACACTCATGAAAAAGGATTTCAAATGCAAAGCAAGATCCTGAATTGAGAGCCAGGTTGAGAAGATGCTACAGTTGAAATATCAGTGTGTAATTTTAATACAGATTCTTCCTAATTAATATAATTTAATTCCTGGACATCTTTCATTTAAATGAAGGTCTCAGATAGGACGGCTGAAGTGTTCTGTTAGTGACAGTTATTTGTGCAACTTTTGCTCTTCTACACTGAATTCTTCCTCTTAGTTCCTCCTTCTCCTTGGCTCCTTTCTTTCATGGGAAACCTAGATCCTTTGTGCAGCTTTCTTTCTCTAGTACCCGTTTCTCTCATCTCACCTTCCTTGCTTCCAAACTTTCATCATCTACTATAAACATACATTTCGCTTAATTCCTCAACCAGACCTTCTACTGGGTTCCAGGTTGTTCCTACCAAACAGCAGTTCCCTCCCACTGAGACACTTGGATGCATTTTTCGTCTACCTGCCCCCTACACCGTACTCCACCCAAACCTCTGCATAATTTGGCTCTTCCTCCCATTTCTGCTCACTCTACTCTAATCTCACTCTGTCACTGGATGCTGCTCCACATCCTGGCTCCATTTGATTTCTTGTCTCAAGTCCCTACCGACAAACCAAATAGAATCCTGGTGAAATTTCATCTCCTGCAAATGAATTGAGGAATGAAAGGGTAAGGTAAAGAGTGACTTCTTATATTACTGAAGTATTAAAGTATGAAAAAAGTCCAAAAAACATAATTGACAACCTCTCTTTACTCACTTACAGTACTTCTTTGCACACAGCCAGTATTAATGGGAGGAAGAATTCATGAGGTCCACATAATACTCCTTTGAAATTGTTTCCACAGTAACAGTTTGAATTTTTCTGGAACAGGCCATTTTTCTGGCCTAGAGAATAGGCAGACTTTGTGCTTCCCAAACCATCTAAGTAGGTGGCTCTGTTGTCAGAAGTTCCTCTGGGCTGACCTGAAGCCCCGTTTAAAGGCAATATTACATTTAGAATAGGCCTAGTGTAAGCAGACAGTGTACATCCCCCCAACCCTGGCCTACAGAGTTGACCACCATTTCACCTCCCATGTTATGCAATCGAAATGAAGACTAAAGCTGCATTCAGCCTGGGCATGGGGGATTCTCACATAATCCAAGGGACAAGACTTATTTTTATTACATTTCATCATTGTATCTATTTGTATAGCTATGTATGGCACAGAAAAGTAAATATACAGAGAATATATTGTATTTTGTGTGTGATTATCATTAATATATTGAATGCCAAAGAATATACTGTAGTTCTGTAGTGCCTTGTAATGTTTGTTTCTTTGACATGAAAATGTTATAACCTCATCCTCAAACTTACTGAGTTTAACCAAAGCAAAAAAGCTGTAGCAAATGAAATTACCACGATCTGCTAATTAATAATTTCTTATTCATGTCAATTCATGCTAATTAATAATTTCTTAGCCAGGAATTGGAAACAAGATTCTGACAGCCAATTCAATTCTCAGATTGTGCACAAGCACAGAGACAGAAGGTAGAATTTTTGTATCTGATGCACCAATGCCTACAAAACTCACACAACACCAATCTACTGCAGCTATAACTGCAAAGAGAAATATTCTAGTGTTACTTTGAGACTGTGTAGCTCAGGAATATATTTCTGCATGTCTGCTCTTTGACATGTTCTTGTTTTGTTTTTCTTTAGATGAAAAAAAATAATAAAAAGACTTCTGATGTTGCAACACATCAAATACCTGGCACTTCTGGCAGACTGCTCATATACTTCTTCAGAAGTAAAGCTTCTGCATATAGGAATGAATAGATATATGTTATAACTGCTCTGAAAATAAGTTCATTTACCTGCCTACAGGTACTTAGGATCTGAATCTAGCCCTTATAATTATACAATGTTAAATTCCTATTTCTTCTTTCCATAAAACCTATTTAGTATCTATTTTCTATGTTCCAATTTTTAAAGAAATCTATTTTTAAAAGTGAATTTACTTGTTGTGAATTGTCAGATTGATCATAGGATGGTCCTAAGTAAGGAAAGGAGAAAAGTTAGACTCTTTATCCACAGTATAGAAACAGCATGGTTTTACCAAATGTGTCTGAATCCCAATTCAGTGAGAACTTCAGAAGGACATAAAATGGGTATTCCTGGCTCTTAAGTTTCAGATTTCAGTGCTGAGACTCTCATTATGGATTACTTAGAGAAGCTAGATAGTTTCAAGTCAGCAGGGCTAGATGGGATGCATTCAAAGGTACTGAAGGAATTGTCTGAGGTAATTTCAGAATCATTAGATATCCCCTTTGAGGACTCGTGGATGTCAGGTGAGGTCCCACATGATTAGAAAAGGGAAAATATAGTGCCCATCTTTAAGATTTTTGTTTTGTCTTAAGACCAAATTCCAAATCAACTGAGCTGAGCAAAATCATTCTAGTTTGTGTGGCTTTACCACTGGGCAATCTCATCCCTCCCAGACACATCTGTCCAGCACTTCAGATACTCCCCAAATCCATGGCAGGTATCCTATGTGCAGGCCTCAAGCCAAAAGGCACTGGAGTTTGGATGCCCCCTAGTCATGCTTGCTCCTTGCCAAAAGGCCGAAGGAGCAAGCCAAGGGGAAAAGTGCAAACATGGTCCCCCATTACCACAAAATTGTGCAGTTGAGTTTCCTGCATTTGGGAAACTCACAGTGGTCAGCCTGCCTGGCGTGCAAGGGACAGGCCTCACCTGGGGAAAGCCTGTTGATCATGGTATCTCCCTGCTCATCTTTAAGAAAGGGAAGAAGGAGGATCCAAGGAATTGCAGACCAAATCAGCCTGACTCGATACCTGGAAAGTTCATGGAGCAGGTCATCAAAAAATCTATTATTAAGCACCTAGAAGAGAACAAGGGAATCAAGAACAGCCAACATGGGTTCACCAAGAGAAAGTCATACTTGACCAACCTGATTTCCTTCTATGTTAAGGTGACAGGCTCTGTGGATGGGGGGAGAGCAATGGATGTGATATACCTTGACTTTAGCAAAGCTTTGGACAGGCTCCCATGATATTCTCAGTAACAAAATCACAAAATACAGACTAGTTAAAAGCACTTTAAGGTGAATATATGTAATAGTATCAGTATGACAACCTCCCTGTGGGGCTTATTTGCATACTACCATTGCTATGCAAGGTTGCTATAGAGCAGGGGTGGGCAAAATGGCCGATTCAGCCAGCAGCCAGACTCCATTTCCCATTTCCTGGCTTGGGCCAGTCTCCATGGCGACCCCAGCTGCACCTGTGTGGGAAAACTCAGGCTGGGGAGACCAGCTGCAGCTGCACTGGCAGTGGGCACAGCAGAGAAGTGCAGGGGGTTGCTCTGGAGCCACTGGGAACTTGCAATGGGGCCATCTTGCTCCAGAGCCAGGGCAGAGCCACAGTCTGTAGCCTGCACACTTCAGGCAAGGACACATAAGCAGGGGATCGTGGCTCTGCCCCAGCTCTTTGCCATGCAGGCAGGGGTGGCTGGGAAGTGGAGTCCACGGCCAACTGATTCCGGCCCACAGGCTGGACTTTGCCCATCCCTGTTACAGAGGGACTGAGTCTCTTATCTCCATATCCCTTATTGGTATGCATGGGTGAGGGAGTGAAAAACTCTTTTGTGCTTGTTTTCACTGTGATAACATGTTTTAACTGTTTTTAACCTTTTGAATATACGAGTCCAGGGAAGTTAGGTTTGGGTGCATTGGCCCTGCCTTCTAAAACTATTAAGTTCCTAAGGGTGTTGATACTGTAAGAGAAAGTAGAATAATGAAGCTGAGGGATCAATTCTCACTATGACTTCTATGGTACTCTAAGGTAAAGTGATTCTGTCCCCGCCACAAGCTCAGGAATCACAAGGGGAGGAGGAAAGGCTCTAGACTGGAGGTCTTGATGCCTAGATTTGGGAGCATCTGAAAAACGTGGGCTGTTTCTCAGCCTCTTGTGGGATAAGATCAAGTGTAGGAAGAATCTGAAATCCCAGACTTAAGAGACGGGGGTGGAGGATGCTTGCCTTTAGCATCTGGGGGCATCTGAATGCCAGACTTCCAGGCTTGGGCCTGCATGTAGGTTATACCTGCCAATGGATTTGGGAGTATCTGAAGTCCCAAGGTGATAGGTCTGGGATGGAAGATATTCACCGGTTGCAGTGCCATACATGGTGTTTCGAATGATTGAGTTCTGTCTGTTCAATTAATATAATTTTTGGAACGATTGAGTTCTGCTTAATCAATATGATTTGGAACTGATTTGACTAATTTGACCTGGACCACAAAATATATTATAAAAAAAATCTGAAAAGTCTGAAAAGTCTGGAAGGCTGGTGGTAATGCCACACAGACTTGAATGACTGAACCCTGTTCAGTTCATAGAATTCGGAACTGATTTGGCTGATTTGTCCCAAAACATGAAATAAAAAACAAAAAAATAAACCCTAGGGGAATAATATTGCATTTCACCATCCAACCAGAAAGGAATGGTGAGGTATAAATCTCTTTAGTGGGTCCAGTCTCAGTCTGTTACCCACTGGGTCCTAAAGAGCTGAACTCAGGGTGCTACCAGGTCAGGTAGAAGTCTGTATTAGCTAGATCCTGAAAGAGCTGAATCTGCATCTAAAAGAGCTGGGTTGTCTTTACGACCCAAAGAGGAGCAGCCCTCTCCAGCAGCAGTGGGCAGTGACAAGGAACAGCACTCCCTTGAAGTGGTAAGGAGCCACAGAGAGCAGTGCTCCTGCAGTGGTGAGGCAAGGGAAACCTTGGGCTAAGAGCTGCACTAGCTCTTCTGACCACACTGTTCAACCCTGTGTGGGACTAAGCAAGAATTCTGAACCTATGGGCTAGGGACAGACATTCAAAAAGCCCAAACCTGAATTGATTCAATCTTTACAGGTTAGTCTAACCTGAAGAGATTAAACTGATTTGCAAGTGGATAGACATTCACTTTCGAATCAGGAAATGCAGACACATGCCTGCAGTGGCTCAGGCTAGAAGTCGGGGGGCGGGGGGGGAGGAGTGCTAGAGTGAGCCCTCCCTTCCCTTCCACAGTGCTAAATTGAGAGGTGTGTGGCTAGGGCCTGCCAGGATGCTAGGATTAGGGAGTGGTTTAAATCCCTACCCTGGCCTGCACAGTCCCCAGCCACGGTGTGCCTGGAGGGGGAGGGGGAAACAGTCCTTGCCAGGCTTTTCCCCTGCTTGCCACTCAAAGCAGGGGTGGGGGGGGGGGGAGTTTTGCCAGACCCTGGCCCCCGGCTAGCACTCTGAGGCAAGGAGGTGGGGGAGGGAGTGTAGACTGCATACATCTGTTGATGATACTGAGCTTCTCAATCTCCCTCTCCCTGCTTTTTCATGCTGTCTGTAGAAAACTGAGGTTACTCACAGGTCGCATTTGTTGCAAACCAGTCATTTCTCACACCTCTTTCTGTCCCCTGTTGAACACTGACAGATTGCAGACTTTGAAGATTGGATGGGAGATTTGTGTGAGAGAGAGGGGAGATTAGGAGGAACTTTCTGATTAAGAGGGTGGTTAAGCATTGAAACAAGCTGCCTAGAAAAGTTGTGGAATCTCCATCCATGGAAGATTTCAAGGTTGGATGGAAAATTAGCTGGGATGGCCTAATCAGGGATGATCCTGCCTTGAGCAGGGGCCTAGACTAGATAACCTTGTGGGGTCCCTTCCAGCACTACTTTCTTAGAATCCTATGATCAATACAAGCCTGAAAAGATTTTAGGAAGGACACCAAGGAAAGTCATAGATGTAGAAAGTTTTATATATGATGAGCAATAGTAAGTACTAGCCTGGTAGGGCTGTGCAAAGCTTCTGGTGCTGATTTGATTCGGAAGAGATTTGGCCTGATTCGGTGGCCAAATCTCCAAATCCAAATTGAATCAGGGGACCAATTAAATGTCCAAATTGATTAAAAGCTCTCCGAATCAATTTCAAAAAGATCTTGAGAGATTCACCGATTTGGGCAGTCCCTGACCGCTGCAGCAGGGAACTGGAGCTGGACTCGCAGCTGGTAAGTAGGAGGTGGGGGAGGACGGGCTGGAGGAGCGGGGAGGGGGACCGTGGGGGAAGGTGCTGCTGGGCAGGGGATGATCCCCCACTGCCCTCCACTGCCCCACACCACATAGAGGGCTCTGTCATGAGCCCTGAAACATTCTCCTGCTCCCCCAGGCTTCCCATGGCTGCCCTGCCTGCCACAGCTTTGGCCCTTTAAGAAAAAAAAAACACAACCCCCCCCCAGACTCATCAGGTCCTGCAGCAGCCTCAGGGCTTTGGAGGGCTCATACAGAGCCCCCCATGCAGCACAGGGCAGTGGGGGATCATCCCCTGCCAGGCAGGAACCAATGAGTCCAGGGTTTTGGGTTTTATTTTTTCTTAAAGAGCCAGAGCTGGGGTGGGCAGGGTGGCCATGGGGAAGGCTGGGGTAGTGGATGGGGGTTGGGGGGATCATGTAGAGCCCCCCACACAATGTAGGGCAGTGTGGGACAGTGGGGATTGCCACCCTGCGGACAGCACCCAGTGAGTGTGGGCTTTTTTTTCCCAAGGTGCTGGGAGCTGGGATGGGCAGGGCAGCCATTGCCGAGGCTGGGAGAGGGGGGTGGGCCTGTGTGATTAGGAGATTTGACAGGAGCTGAATCTCTAAATCAGATTTGGCTGAATTGATTCGGGACAGTGATTCGAATCATCGAATCAAATCACTGCCTCCCGAATCAGCCAAATCCAAAGTGAATACTAGCCTCTTCGCACAGGCCTATAGCCTAGTAAACATTTTATTTGGCTTTTCAGCCATGCCTAGTCTCTATGACCTCACGTAACAAGGAAATCAGAACAATTCAGGACAAAACCTATCCTTAGTATTTCTGGTTTTCATTTCATATCCTCTATGAAATTTAGCTGAGGTTTGAGAAATTGAGCTGAGGAATATATACTCAGACTGAGTTCTACAAACTAATTTTTACTGTTTCTGTTATGAAGCTACTGACTTCAGTTGGATTAGATGCCCATAATTGAGAACAGAATTTGGTCTGTAAGTTTTACTATGATTATTCATTTATCTAGAAACTAATTACTGTAAGAAGTGTGTTCCAGTTTTGTATGATGATCCCTACTAACTCAGACATATATTCATTCAGTTTTGGTTGAAATCTCTTTTTAAATCAAGATTCATTTTGTAAGTTTAGAACATCATCTTTTACCAACTATATTCTTATAAGAACTTATATTTTGTCTGAAATATTAAATAGGTCTTTAGAAATACAGAAAAAATTATAAAATTAGATACCTTTTGAACTTCATGGTAGTTGTCTAAAGCTAAAATCCATTGACACATAGAGCAACAGGCAATGGACACAAATCCAAGTTTTGATGGACTAAAATCAGGTGATTTTATGTAGCTTTTCAACTGCAGAAATACCTAACAAGAAAACAATTTTAAGATTATCAATAATTTTGAATTTTCATATGCCCCAGGGAATCTATGAGGTGCACTTTAAGTCCCAGCAGGACCACTGGCACAACCCAGGTATAATCCCCAGCCTTGGCTGCAGCCAACACTCAATGCCCCTGAGGAAGGCTTAAAAAAAACAAACCCAACTGGACACAAGCAATGGTGTGGGTGGGGGGAGGGAGGTATTCCCTTTCAGCTCCATGTGGTAGGGTGCTGAAATAGCTAGCCACACTTCGGGCCTTGAATTTTTTAGTGTATGAAGGGTCTTGTCAGTTCTGGGATGAAAGCGCTTCATGTCCCCAAATGATAGGTCTAGTATAGTTTGTATGTTCTTGCAGAAAATTGATCAATGCAGCCATAACGACAGGTACATGACTACTGCCAATGCTATGGACACAACAGAGATGTCGGGTGTCAAAAGCAGCCTGTAGGTGTGTCTTGGTTGCTAGTTGCCCTTCTGAAATTAAGGATATCAGGTCTTCTGTTCTGAGTAACAGAGTCTGTCAAGTCTGTTAGCTTTTCATAGACCCACAATTTATAGTGAGCTATAAGTCTGGGAGGTGGCTATTTAAAACTAGGCTAGCTGATGACTAGGTTCTCTTGTCAAACTGGTTCAGCCTCTTGGGTCTGCCCATTCTCTGTCAACCTGGCCTTCTTTCACAATTGTGACAACCAGGGAGGATGAGAGTAAAGATAGGTATTTCTAAATGGCACACTATTTTGTGTCTGGTTGCTGAGCAATGAGATGACAGGATGCAGGGATTAGCCAAATTGCTTTGGCTGAGTCCATTACAGCTTTGTTAATAACCTATCCTTGTTGGGTCCACTGAGTGCAGTATGTAAACCAGGGAATATGACTGTTTGGATACATATTCTGGGTTAATCTTTAATGGGCTTGTCACTCTTCTCATGAGTTCTTTGAAGCTTCTTACGTCTTCTGAGGACATACCAATTTGCATAGGGGGAGGGCAGCTCTTTGGATTCTCCTGTTCTTGTCACCAATAAAGACTGTTCACAATGGTTTGGAGAGAACTGAAAAATGGCCCTGTGTAGGTTGTGCTGGTATTTGTTCAGAATTTCATCTTTGATCTTCTTCCTAAGATTGTCATTGTAGTGGTCCAATGTGTGGTTTTGTCCACTGGGAAGTGTCCAGTCCAATTTTTTTTTTTTGTTGATTTGGTCTGTTGCGGTGGTGGTGGTTCAGATGTGATTTTGTCCTGGTGTAAGTATTCTTTTAGGTGAAGTCAATGGAAGAATTCTCCCAATTCACTATATATTAGCAGATTGTTTAACAGAGCAGAACTTCAGGCCTTTGGAGAAAGCAGATATTTCAGAAGGGGGGGGAGGCACTGTGATAGATTAATGATGTTGTTCTGGGTGGCACTATCTTGATTCTCCCATTTAGTGTTAGTATGCTGTCTGTAAGATGGCTCTTGTGATATTGGTTCCAATTTTTTTCATCCCTGTGGTAGAAGTTTTGGGACTTCTGAATAGTAACAAAGTTTATTTCCTGGTTTATATCTCTTAGTTTAGTAAAGTAAGTATGTCCAGTTTAAGATGCTCTCTTTTGGATTAGGAGAAGATGGTTTCTGAGTTTTTCTGACATCTTCCCTCACAGCTGTATTTAGTATTTGAAGTTCTGTGCATTAGCCAAAGGGGTGCAGATGGTAAGTCCGCTAGGGACTTATGTTTCTTGTACAGGCTTAGGAAGCAGGCAGCACTAAGTAATCTGTCTTCTTTTTAAGTTATGTTGTGGGTTTTGCTTCCTGCTGCCATGTGTACCTGCGAACTGCAAAGCTTTCATAGATCTTAATGTTCTCCTTTTTTTTTGCTAAGGGCATTATTCATATCCAAATCTATATATTAACACAATAGGACAGATTCTCTATTCCTCTACGTCTGTAATAAGCAGAGAACTGGAAGAGTGGGAGCAGACAAAATGACTTTAAGTCAACCTTTCACATTTTTAAATCAGACCTCAACCTTCATCTCCTCTTAGGGCAGTCCTAGGGCTGTTCTAAACTGTAACAGCTTGTAACAGTCCTTTATGGACTGATATTCTAATACGTAGTATACTTACATCTTTCTGGCCAGGAACAGATGCTGTATTTGTCTCTGGACAAGATGTGCCTGTATGTTGTTAACCAGAAATGCCCTTGGGATTGGCATGTACACATATCACCCCTCTAATCAGGGTTTAGTGGGTAGCTGAATGCATTCCTACTTTTCTGCCATTGACTCGATGTTGCAATCCTGGGATAACTGTTCAGACACACTTAGCAATGTCCTGGGATAAACTGTCAGTACTTCTTATACCATGAACTTTTTAAAGATTTATCTTGGGACGAAGGGTATGGACACCTGAACAATTGAACTTTGTCCAGAGATAAAATTGGACAAATACTTACACCTGGGACAAATGCAACATCAGTTTGTAGTCTCTGTTTCCTCATTCTCCTGGCCTTCCCTGGACTGTCTTCTACTCTGGAACTTTATTCATGACACTGGGATTCTGCAGGAGTAATTTCTGCCTGCTCTGTAGCTTTTTTGTCTTCTCAGAGTGGTGCAAGTGGGTTGTAGCACAGGGCATAGGACATCTAGGTCCAAGTTCTGATGCAAAATGTATCCTTAACTAAGTCAAATCAACACCATTTAAAGTGTTCTCACAGAAGGAGTTAAGACAAAATGTTAAACATTACTGCTTTGCTTCACCTTTTCTGGTAGATTATCTTTATCCAAAGTAACCAATGTTTTGAGGAACCCTGGATCTGCAAGAAGGTGTTTTGCTGTTGCCCAAGTAGGTTTCTTCTGCAGAAGAATACAGACTGCATTCATAACAGTTAGTACAAGAGGAGGAGGGTGAGTATACACTCTGTAAGAGAGAGAAGCATTTGAGAGGTTAACAAGAACTGTTGTCGAGTTTAATATTTCATACAGATCACAAACTGTGGTTGTTTCCTATTGGGCTAATCTTTAGTTCCACACCTCTCCAGCATTTTGCTGCTTGTTCACTGAGAACAAATTGAAATTTGACCCTGGGATAATTTCTTACCCAGTAAAACTTAGTTCCACCTCTTCCAGTATAGATCTTGCAGCTCCAGCAGAAGTAGTACTGCCAGTTTGTGAAACATATCCCTGCAATTTGTGTAAATTATAGGTCCCCTCCTCTACCTTTATTTATGCAACTGTTCTAAGGCAGGAGCTCAGCTAGGTAGATGTACTTGTGAAATCTGCCAGCATTATTATTCTAGAATGCTGGATTACTATTGCTTGGAACAAAGCTTTAAAATAAAGTGACAAGGCTTTAAAATAAAACAGACCTACCTGAGTTCTGCAATGTGGGCTTTGTCCAGTGCATCTAAAGCAGTAAGAGCCTTTTCTAAAGTTGGCATTACAGAATGTAGCTCCTCTGTAGCTTGCTATATTGTAAACATTAAAAAAACATTAAAAGGTTAAAATTGGCACTCTCTTTTGGCAGTATGTACTGTACAGAAATCACTTCTAGTGCACAATAACTATCAGAAGGAAAACTCTTGTTTTGTCAGAAAGCCACACAGAAAGACATTGTTTGAAATAATAAGGTGCCATTCAGGCACAAATGTTTTCTAATCAGAATCATGAGTAAAAGAAACAAGACCTTTTGTGCTTTTTTCCTAATTCTAATTTTTAACTTGTAAACAATCCTAATGTAATTCATTCATATGCTGGGGGCATATGAACATTGGTATATATTTTTGCAACCATTTATCCTTGCTTTAAAAAGAACTAGATTTTGCAAGGTTCTCAATAATCTCAATTTCCACTGAAGTCAATGAGACTTGAGAGTTCTTTGTGCCTCATAAGAATGGACCCATTTAAATTAAAATCTGAAAGTCATCAAACAGGTTCTCTACCTTAGCATATTGTTCCACAACTTTTGTCTCTTCAGCCATGATTTCTTCATCCTGTTTGACAAGCATTCGAACCTGTTCCACTACTACTGAGTCTCTACGAAGTTTTTCCACAAGTTCTTCTGTTTCCTAACAGGAGAGAAAAAAACCTTTTCCTTAGCAAAATATTTTGGCCATAGAATCTTAAGTACACTTAGTAAATTGACTAAATGACTAATCTAAGATTCTACAGATTCCAGAATTATTTTTCTGTTTCTTGTCAACCAATCAAGAGTATACCTTGTCTTCAGTTCATCTAAATTTCTGTCAACTATGAAAGCATAGGACAAGGAAGTACACGATAATTTCCTAATTTACGGACAGGCTCAAAAAATGAGGTGATAGAACATGTATGATTTAGGTTTTGAATTCTGAGGTGAGGTGCAGTGGGAATGACTAAAGATTTTGAAAGTCCATGGGAGAAAACAAGTATAAATTCAGATGTACCTTTGATTTTTGCTCTATTTGAGGGCCAAGAGCAAACAACTCTTCCTGCATTTCTGCAACTAATGATGTTGCTTCCAGAAGCTTGGTTAGACCATTTTGAAAACAATCCCTAAAACATAAAAAAAAGTAAAATGAAATACCAATCTGCACTTCTCAAGTGAAGTCTTTCATTTAACTTGTTTGAAATAGTAGCCCAGGTTCATTTCACATTCCATAGGCACAAGTTAGGAGTGTATCTTTAACAACATGGTCTATTTTGCTTGATTTTGACATTTTGCTGATCTGAAAGGGATACTTCAATGCAACTTTACATTATAAAAGTACACAGTGGGGAAATGCTAATAATTTCTCACCTGTTAATCAGAATTTTCTTTTTTGTGATCTGTAATATTCTGGAAAAGGTGTTTATGAACTGCAAATAGCTACTGGGAGTGACATAGTAATGCCTCTTAGTTTCCTTCAAATATTTCTCAACTATTGTTGATATATTTTTGTGGACTTCAACACACATGTCGGTAACCCTGTTTGTTAAGGTCTGGAAAATGCAATGATTAAAAAAGAGAAAAAGTAAATAAAAATATTTATATTTCTGAAGTATAGTACATATTTTTGTTTAGCTCCTGTTTCATACAACTTTCTTAAATTCAGATGGAATACACTGAATGGTGTTATGGGAAAATTAATAGAAAGTATTTAAAATGTTTGCTATGAATTTATAATTAATAGAAAATGATTGTATTTTTTTAGTAATTTCCACTTAATATAAATTATTTTTTTCTCTATTTTTTCAAACAAAATCCTGTGTTACTGACAGGAACGTTAAACAGTACAGAAGGTATAATCCTGTCCTCACTTGGTAAAAATGAAATCAGTAGGATTAAACCAATATATCTGAAGATAAAATGTGAACCAGTGTATTAGATAATTAAGCACTGGCTAAAAATCTACTGTACAGTAAGAATAGCGACATTTTCCTAATCACTCTTATGGCTCATTTAAGGATGAGATGATATTTTACCAATGCTATTACCAACTTACATCCTATAAACCTGATCTTTTTCTCATTTGTATAGGTTTTATACCAGCACAGCCCTGTTAACTTCTGGGGAGCCAACTGTACTCATATGTACACATGTAACCAATGCAAGAAACAGGCCCACACTTGCATTATCATTTAAGTCTCTACTGCTCTTCACGGAGCAGAGCTCACACTGAAGCTAAGTGAAATTGTTTCTTGTTGATCTGCATAGCTGTTTAACCTGTGAGGCATGGGTATGGTTGCAGGCCACAAAGGGTGTCCTAAGATGGGGTGCTGTTGAGACTTTGTTTAAGGGAGAAGGAGACCCCAGTGAATGAAGTGAGAGATGACAGAGCCCAGAGGCCCAAGATTTTTGAGAACGGACTGCCAGAAGCCCACTGGGCAGAGGGTGAGGGGGCCTGGTGGGCTGAGCAAAGTGGAGCAGGGCACCCATGGCCATATTTTGTTTCTCTGGAGGCATCCTCCCAGAGTTAACAGTAACAACAAAGGTGTGGCAAGTGAGGACAGGCTGGTACCCAGAGAAAGACCAGAATGGAAGAGACAGGATCAATACAGCTGCCAGGGGGCCCCATAAACACCCTCTGAGACTGGTCTTGTTACATATGGTTAAAGAAGAAAAATAAATTTTATGGACATTACCTCATTTTCATCAAAAATATTCTTTTGACTTAAGTATTTTTTTGCAACATGCAGGAGAGCTTCTTCAGGCCAGTTCTCATACCAATCAACTGTACAACAATTAATAATGGCAGGATATGTCCGGCAATGCTGACGGAAATTATGCCCTGCAGGACTTGATGTCAAAACAATATGAAGGTTGCTATGAACTCTCTGAAATAAAGTTATAATTTTGGGAGGAAATTACCATTACAAAGATTAACATTTCCCCCCTCAAACCAATTTATTTTTTTAACTTTTTAAAAAAAATGTATGTTAAATTTACGACTTCCTTCCATGCTAACAGTACTGTACCCAAATGATCAACAACCTATGATTTTTGATGATAATTTGTGAAGCTGTGAATTTAAGACTATGGCTGTATACACATATTCAAATGATCTGAGAATTCTTCCTTGTTTGTACCTGGAGAGATGGCTGGCTGGGGACTGTCTGCCTAAGCAGCAGCTCTGCCAAAAAAGACCTGGGGGTTACAGTGGACAATAAGCTGAATATGAGCCAACAGTGTGCTCTAGTTGTGAAGAAGGCTAGCAGCATACTGGGGTGCATTAGTAGGAGCATTGCCAGCATTTCAAAGTAAATGATTCATCCCCTCTATTCAGCAGTCTGGGGAGGCCACATCTGGAGTACTGTGTCCAGTTTTGGGCCCCTCACTACGGAAAGGATGTGGACAAATTGGAGAGAGTCCAGTGGAGAGCAGCAAAAATGATTAGGGAGCTAGGGCACATGACTTCTGAGGATAGGCTGAGGGAATGGGGCTTGTTTAATATGGAGAAGAGAAGATTGAGAAGGGATTTAATAGCAGCCTTTAACTACCTGAAGGGTGGTTCCAAAGAGGATGGAACTAGACTGTTCCCAGTGGTGGTAGATGACAGAACAATGAGCAATGGTCTCAAGTTTCAGGAAGGGAAGTTTAGGTTAGATATAAGGAAAAACGCTCTCACAAGGACGGTAGGAAAGCACTGGAACAGGTTACCCAGAGAGGTTGTGGAATCTCCACGTTGGAGGCTTTTAAGATCTGGCTAGACAAAGTCCTGGCTGGGATGATCCAGTTAGGGATGGTCCTGCTTTGAGCAGGGGACTGGACTAGATGACCTCCTGAGGTCCCTTCCAACCCTAATTTTCTATGATTCAATCTCAACAGACATTGGAATGCTGGGCCCCTGAACAGCAGAGAGCACACATCTCAGCATGGTCTACAGGCTCCCTTGGTCTGCCTGGAGACAGATGGCAACTGTGTACTGGGCTGCCCTGATTGGCTGCTCAGGGTCAGCCTGCATCTCCTTGCTGCAAGTTGTGGGGATTGTTAAGGGAGCATGTTCTGCCCCCTGCTTGGGTGGAGCAGTTAAACATTCATAAGGACTGTAGGAACAGATTCCTACTGGGCACATCTACACATGGAATTAATGCGTCTGACTTTTCTTCACAGAAAATTCAGGCTCATTAAAGTGCATCTATGTGTGCGCCCCCATCAGGAGCAAATTGCACCTGACAGGAACAGCTCAGTCCAGGGCTGTTCCTACCCTGCTCTGCCCCACTGCAGCAGTCAGGGGGAGCCCCAAGGCTGGCAGGGAATATGGGGGCTGGTCCTGATCCCCACATAGCCGGGGGGGCTGTCCTTGCTCAGCGGGGATGCTGTCTGCCAGCCACATGGTGATCCCAAATCCCACGGATCTGACCTGATCCTCACACATTCATACTGACTGTAGCAATAGAGCTGAGTTACACTTTCATAAGGACTATAGGATTGGATCCCTACTGGGCACATCTACACATGCAATTAATGTGCCTGAATATTCTTTGCAGAAAATACAGGCTCATTGAAGTGCTCTGGGGTACATGTCTCCGTGTGAGCCCCTGTCCAGAGTAAATTGCGCCTGCCAGGAGCAGCCCAGGCCAGGGCTGCTCCTGCGTTGCTCTGCCCCCCTGCAGTAGCCAGGGGGAGCCTCAGGGCTGGCAGGGGACATGGGGGGCCAGTCCCAATTCCTATGTGGCTGGGAGAGCCATCCTTGCTGAGCAGGGACACTGCCTGCCAGCCATGTGAGGATCCTGATCTCCATATGGCTTGCAGACACTGGCTCCTCTGAGCAGGGATGGCTCTCCTGGCCATGTGCGGATTCGGACCTTCTGATCTCCATGCTGCTGGGATGCAGCAGTCTAAGCTGCCAAGACAGCTCTCCCTGCCACATGGTGATTGGGTCCCGACCAAATTGCTTCCAGTCAGCATCTACACTACTGTGTGGCAGCTAATTTGCCATTAATTTAGTGCCTGTATTTCCTGGTGCTAGCGAACAACACATTAGCCTAATTTACTGCAGAGTAAGTACAGTGCATGTGTAGATGGTGATGCCTTACTGCACATTAGATTAGTCTAATGCACAGTAAAATGTCTTGTGTAGATGTGCCACTGTGGTGGAAACTGGTTGGCATACTGTGTCTAATTTTTTATGCTTATTTTGCTCAGGGGACCTCTTTCCTCTTGCCCACCTAACCCCCTCCCCCACAACCCCCCAGAAAAAAACACTTTCAGCAAATGAAATAGTTTAATAATCAGCCTTCATAGATAAATGGAAAACCACAGGCAAAATTAAAAAATACCACTATTTAACATTTTTATAAACAGAAACATAAATATGTAATAACTTAAAAAAAAAAGCCTAAATGACTTGGAGCCTAAGGGCCAGATTCTATTCTGCCTATTAGGTGGTATAAGGCCCCTGCTACATATTACATATATTACACAATTAACTGGTTAATCATACAGCTACATGTGCAAAGTAATTATTAGAGGTGCATCGATACATAGGTCCATATCGTATCGGCACTGATAAAAGGAAAATTGACAGTATCGGCAATTGGCTTTTTTGGCTGATGTGGCTTACCATGTTGCCGATAAATGCCACATGCATGTGTGAAGCTACAGCATGCATGCAGCCAGTCCGGCAACTTGGAGAGCAGCGTCCAGCTAGTAATTCTGTTGGGGGGAAGGTGCGAGGAGAGGAAAGGGGCATAGGGGGGCAGATTAAGGGAGGGAGTGTAGCTGGGGCAGGAGCCACGAGCAGTTCATTGGGGGGGTGGCTCCCACCACTGTGTGCAACCCTGGGGGTGGCATGAGGTCTGTGTGCCCTCAGGAAATGTGTGCAGAGCAAAGACAGGCTGCCACTGCAGGCTGGGGGTGGCATTGGGCATTTCCTGGCATGGGGTGGGGCTGGGCTGGGGCTGCGCCCCTCATAGTCCCCTTCCCAGCGTCACCACTGCCCATCCCAAGTGCAGCCCTGGCCCAGCCCCCCCCATGCCGGGAAAACCCTGGCGCTGCATCCTCCCCTGAGTGCACAGAGGCAGCCCACCCATGCCTCATGCTCAGATCTGGGAGGCACCTGCCTCCCCCATGCCTCCCCTGGGGGTGCGCACTGTGGTGGGAGCTGCTGCCCCTCACTGTGCCCTCCCGATGAGCCACTTACGGCTCCATCTGGTGTCCTGCTTCACCCTGGCTGGGCAGCACTTGCCCTTGCCCCACTCCCTCCCTCTCCACAGGGGCCTCGATCTGGTCCACTTCTGGGTCCGCTGGGGAGCATGCAGAGAGGCCCCCTGTGACTCCCTGGCTTGGTGACTGGTGCCTCCTGGGTCTGGGGGGGCACCTAGGGTCTCCCTATGGCCGATCACCAAGCCAGGGAGGTGTGGGGGCTCCCCCCCCAGTTTGCTCTCCAGCGGACTTCTGAGTTCACTGCTGAGCATGCAAAGCCTCCCCCATGCTCCTGTGGGATTCTCCATCCATCCCACCATTGCAGTGTTCATGAGCCACACCTGGTACTTTGAGGTATGTAGAAAAAACATTTAAAGCTGTGTCTATGGCCACATCGCTGATTCTCTGAATCAGCATCAAGTCTTCAGATTCGGATTTGGCCGAATTGAATAGGGGACAGTGATCTGAATCAATGAATTGAATCGCTGTCCCTGATTCGGGACAAATCCAAATCAAATAGGGGCCCTTTTGCACACCCCTACCACATGCCTGCAGTGGTCCAAGCTAGAAGCTGGGGGGCTCTAGAGCATGCCTCCCTGCTCTACTGGAGCAGACAGCTTGGGCCAAGTCTAGCCCACCCACTCTGTGAGGGGTGAGGGTTTGTGGGGGAGGTGCAAATTATCCTGGGATGCTGGGGCACTGTGAGTTGATCTGAATCTTGAGGAGATCTGGGACAGAAGTTCAATAAACTGATTTAACCTAAATCAGTTAAGTCTGATATTACATGCATCCAGGTTTATCTTAAACCAATTTTGGCCATTTTGAAAGCAGTTTATGTGTACTGAACTTCTGTTGTGTTACAGATTTGAACTGGTTTCCAACCACTTATTCCAGTTAATGGGTAATTTCTGTCCCTTGTTATCACCTTAGGGTAGCTGTCCTATAAAATGAAGGCATGCTACAGGGGTTATGGTTTTGTTTGGATTCAGAAAGAAAGAAATCAGATCTTAATTAGACTTCTAATAGGAATAGGATCTAGCCCAAGTTCTGCTTCCAAAACTGACTTAATTGTCCTAGTGGTGTTCAATCTGTATGGTCCCATGAGCCAAATGAGTGATGTGGGGATGGTCTGTGGGTCAGATCCTGTGTGCAGGGTTTGTGTGTGCACTTGATCCTGTGCAGGGTTAGTTTATGGGTATGATCCTATATGCTGGTCCAATCCAGAGCACCAAATCTGCTTATGGAGTGATCCTGCACGCTGGTGTGAACTAGCATGCAAGGCCATGTCTTTGGGGCTTCCCACAGGTCCATAAATTTGGCAGCAGAGGAGCAGTAATTAATGCTGCCAATGCACCCCTGTCACCAAATTTCTGGACCCACAGAGAACCTCACAGGATAGATAACATGGCTCTCTCAGTCACTTCTGTTCTCTGTGCTGGAGGTTGAGTACTACTGGCCTAAGTAGACTCTTGAAGTATGTAGGCTTGGGACCTCTTTCTATTTAACTGATGCCAATGGCAAAACATGTCTTCAGCCTGAGCAGCATGTGGCACTCTAACATTTTGATTAAAAAAAGTTTCAAAATCCTCTGATATTAATGTAATTAACAAAATACCTGCAGAAAAAAAGAAAGAATAGCTTCTCTGCTGTTAGAGTAGTTAGCCTTTTCGGCAACAGCTGTAAGTTTCACAACAATATCTTCTACCTCTTCTTTATCAAATAAGTCAGGTACTTCTCCAGAATTCAGAATATAGCTCAAATCTTCTAAAAAACATTCCTAAGAGGAAGGACAGCAATTAGTAGTCCCTCCATAGCTTGTTGTTTGATTGTAAAATTAACAACATAATACTTTATGGTAGTGGTCTCCAACCTTTATGGCTGTGGGCTGGGCAGTGCTGCGCTGTTCCTGGCTAGGCTGTGCTGAGGCCAGGCAGAAGTGGCAGCACTGGGAGCGAGGCCAAGGAGGGGGGCTGTAGCCCCCCCACTCCCAGTGCTGCAGCCACCTGCCAGTCTGATGGGAACAGCCCGGCACAGACTTCTAGCCCGCAGCTGCAGCCCACCCTACCCCAGGTCCACCAGTCCCCTGGGCCCCATGTCCTTGGTGGGGGGGGGAAGGAGCGGTGGGAGGGGAAGGCTGTGCCAGGATGTTCCCACTGGGCCTGGCCCATGTTGCACTTGGGACGGGCAGCGGCGGTGCTGGGAGCAGGAGTGGGGGTGGGCTATGGCCCCCTCCATGGCCTTGATCACAGTGCTGCCACTGCTGCCACCTGGCCTCAGCACAGCCCGGCTGGGAGCAGCCCAGCAGGAACAGCCCACAGCCCATCCCACTCTGCAGGCAGATCTGGGGGCACATGACCTTCCAGGCTGTGCACCCCCTCTCCCCATGTCCCCTGGATGAGCCACTCACAGCCTGTCCCTGCTCCAGCCCCACTACCTACCTCAGAGCTGCAGCCGCCGGTGCTGCCCCACGTTTTGGGGAGGCATATGCCCCCCCATCTGTGCGCAGAAGTGGTGGCTCCCACTGCGGGCTGGACATTGTGCCCCGGTCACCCACCCATTCCCTCCTCCACCGACTGACCTGCTGGGCTGGGGGAGGCATGCATGCACATGCACATGCACTCAGACTCCCCAGCCCAGGATTGACCTCAAGAGGCTCTGGGATTCTTGGTTGGTGACCACTGCATTTGTGGTATTTGGATTATGTGTATAAAGGGTGGAGGAGTCTGAATAAAAAAGGAATTAATCCACATCTTTGCCTACAACTCTAATCAAACCTGACACTTTTTTAAGGTAGAAAAGACTAGTTAATTTTTATAGTGTGTCTCAGTTTTCCCATACTGCTACATATCTTGATTTTGAACGAAAAAAAGAAAAGGAAGTTTTACAAAAAGGACTATTCTCCTATTATATCTGACCCCATCAAAAATTAAAGTACTAGAAATCTTATATGATGGTTTGTTCTTGCCAACATTCCAATCCAGTTTTCAGAGAAAAGATATGTACTCCACATAAGCAACAAAATCATAGCTCAAAACCTTTTTGAGGATACCCAAACAGTGACAGTTCAAATACTGGTTTGGGGTTTACTAGGGACATATATGACATATATAAAAACCAAAGGATATAAGTACAAAAAAACCAGACGAGATGATATACAGGGGCACATTAAAAAACCCACAGCCAAAAATATATGTTGAAACAAGAAGTCAAATATCCAAATTTTCCAACCATCAATAAATTGTATATATATTCTGATAAGTAATTTTCCTTAAGACTGTTCTTTGAAAATGTTTAATTTTCAACTCTCAGTTAAACTTGGCACTCATTTTTTCATATCAGAGTGACATAAGAACACAGTCTAGGAAAAAAAAAGATTTATCATTATAGATTAAATGCCACAAGCTCAGTTCTTCACTATTGAAATCTATTGGTTTTGCTATTGACTTTGAATGAGAATTATATAGCATGACTTTTGGATCTTGGTCTCTATTTGTTTGTACATATGCACTTTGGTGTAACTCTAAATTAAACATACATGCATCCATCAACATGCCCTCATTTTGGCAATAATATCATATAAAAGACTGTTTACCTTCAGTATGTCTGAATCAGTGATAAGAAAAACAGTCCTCTGTCCCTCCAGCCCTGTTTGCCTATAGACTTTTTTCAGGTCCTCTCTGAAATCTGAGTAAGTATAACTGTGCGTAATAGACAACCTAAAAAGACTGCAGTTTGATAAATAGCAGGCTAGAGTCACACATGTTACTTTCCCATTTCCATCCAGTCCAATCTGCAGAAAAATATCAGTTTTTATATATAACCTTATTTATATTTACATATAATGACTGAAGAACCTCTTTGGTATTCAATATATTCATAATTAAATATAAAATGAAACATTTGTATAACTACACATGCATTGTACCAGTGTTTTATGTTTTTTCTACTCTCAAGTTTATTTGATTCTGTTAAAGTACTGTACTATATAAATTGCAGTACAGTAGGGTGTGACAGAAATTTAAACATTCTTGGGCTAATTTTTTCTCATTTCTTTTAATTCACAAATTTAAAAGCCCTTTAGAAAGTTAAATATTTTCCCCATTTAATAAGTGGAAAAAAATGAGGCAAAAAAAGCTAAATTGACAACTTCAAAGTCACAAAATAAGTCATGGGTACAGTTAGAAATAGAACCCAAACTCCCAAAATTCCCAGCTTGTGGCATATGTTTCAAAACATTTTGACTCACAAAATCTTCCTCAGATAATGTGGCAAAGAGCAAACTATACATATTTTGTGCTAAATTTGGAAAAATTTCAAGATGATTTTGAAAAGTTATTTTAAGATCTAGCTTAATTATTCTATATAGATCAGTGCTGTTCAACTCCTGGGGCCCCATGGACCTGATGAGTGTCACAGGGCTGGTTTGTGGGCTGGATCCTGTGTGCAGGGTCAGTTTGCGGGCTGGATCCCGAGATGTGGTCTACTGGGTTTCAGTCTGTTTTCTGCCTGCAAACTGCTCCTTCCCCAGCTCAAATTGAAAAAGAAAAAAAAGAGACCTTCTCTCTCTGACCCTTTTTTCCCCTCTCTCCCCCTGCTCTCTTCCTCCTCCCCTCCCTTGCTTTACCTTTTGTCTTGCTTATCTCTACCTATTTACATTTTCACTGACATCCTACCACACTTTTACCTTCTCTCATTCCTTGGAGTCTCAGACCAGCAGAGACTCCCTATGCCAGACAAAGGGTGTCTGTGCCTGAAAGCTTGCCAAGAACTTTTTTCCAACTACTCAGTTGGTCTAATAAAAGATATCACATCTACCCAAAGAACCTTGCCTGCCATGTCCTTAGACCAACACCGCTACAACCAAAAATTCAGCGTCTTGAGGTAAAGCATTCCTGGAGCTGGAGGGATGATGTGGTCATACAGGGAACATAAATGAATGAGTAATAGTATTCAGTGCAGGAATAATTTCCTTTAAAATACAATTTCAATTTTCAACTTAGCTTACAGCTGGTAAACACAAATGAAACAAACGTTAGTTCTGATCTTAACTTGCATTTAATCAGGCAGAACATGGAGAGATAATAAAAGGTAATGCAAGTTAAATGAACCTTCTTGGTCAGGACAAGTGCAAATTCTGCATAAAACCCCAATTCCATGGGTGCCTTTATGGTTTTTTTTTTTTAAATGTACAGCTATGTAAATATAAAAGATTAATTTTCTTACCAGGATCATGTGAGCACCTGGCTGTCGAAAAACTCTAGCAGCTCTTGTAATGTGTTCTACAGCTTCCTTAAAGAACACCATTGTAGTCTGGGGAATCAAGAAAGAAAAACTTCAAGTACAGTAAGAAAAGTAGCAGCACATGCCAAGTGACATTTACGGTGGGTAACAAGGGGAAAAGGACTAAAGAGGAGAAAATGCCTAGAAAAGCTGGGAGTCACAGTTCAATTCCGATTGGTAAAATATTAATAAAAAAACCCAACACATTTATTTCTTTTCTTTCTTTGCTTCTTGATTGTCTGCCAATTTCATGACTGCCACTTTCATGACCGCACTCAGTTCATTGTAGCCGTCAGTGACCTGGTCTGTTTACAAAAGCAACCACCATGAGCTACACTCTGCTCTCCATTACAGTGGTACAGCTTCACTGAATTCAGTGGTATTATAACAATATAACTGAGCATGATTTGGCTTCATGTGTGGCTGAGAAGACTCCATACAGCATCTAGACTAACAGCAGCAGAAAAAACAAACAAACTCCAAATCTCTTGTTCCTCTGATCTCGATAGTGAGCTTCACGGTCAGAGTACTGATTTTTAGCAAGTGGAAGGAGATGAGATAGCAAGGAAAGAGTATGGCAATAACACTGAAGAAATCATTAAAAAAAAAAAGAGTATCAGAAAGAGTTTGCATAGAGATTACTATGCTGATTTGTAGCTGGTAAGACTTCCAAACCTTTGTCCTCAAACTTTCTTTTTCAATAAAGCTTGGTTAAGTATTTTTCCTCCTTTTTTTTTGCCCTGGCATCTGAATGAATCATGGCTCCACTGATGCCAGTGGAAAAACTCCTATTGACTTAAGTGGGATCATGATTTTATTCCTGAGCTTCTATATTCCACGTGGTACAGGAAGCTAATATGTAGAAATCCTTTAAAACAGGCTGAAATATGAGTCTGAGGGGAGCAGGAAACATACATGCACAACTTGAACTTCATATTAATGAAGACTCTCATGTGGAAGTTCCCTTTGTTTGCTTAAAAAAGGACTGAAATTATTGACAAGATATTATTGGAGAATGGGGAGATGGCATAAGAAAATGGAAGTAAATGCTAGGATCTCCCACATCTGCTGGCTTACCTGGGGTAATAAATGATGATTTTTACTTTTATTCTGGTTTGTTTTTGAAATTTAAAATCAAACCTATCCCTAAGAAGAGGTTGCTAATATAGTGTTGTTTAGATGAAGATATACTTAACTATACAGTATATTGGGACAATTTTGCCCATACTTGTGTACCTGTAATTTCTATTAATTTTAGTAGAGGTTTAGCAGTAGGCAGAATCTGGCTCACATAGAGTATAAGAACCATGACGCAAGCCAAAGTCAAATAAATTGATTTATATCCCTTGGTCCCTCCTAACTAAATCACTCCGCTCTGTACCCTAGCTATCTTGCAAGGGCTACAGAAGTCTCTTCAGTGGGTTGGGGCATTTATACACATACTTTTTTGTCCCACGACGCACCAGAGATTGGCTGCTTTGGAGCAGATTTGATTAATCAAGTCTGCTCTGCAAGTGAGCGGAGGCGAACTGCACTGTGCCTTGTGCAGTTGTATAAGTGGCAAAATGCACGTCTGTGCAGAAAGTGATGGCAGTGCACTTTTGACCTAAAGCGCACCAGAGATTGGCTGCTTTGGAGCAGATTTGATTAATCAAGTCTGCTCTGCAAGTGAGCGGAGGCGAACTGCACTGTGCCTTGTGCAGTTGTATAAGTGGCAAAATGCACGTCTGTGCAGAAAGTGATGGCAGTGCACTTTTGACCTAAAGCACCTCTGATGCGTTTTAGTTCAAAAGTGCACCACCACCATTTTCTCAGAGCTGATGTGCATTTCGTCACTTATATAACTAGAAAAGTTGCAGCGCTGGCCACTTTTCAAAGTACCCAGTGCCGCCGTGTTTGCACGAGTAAAAATGCTGCTGTTTTCTCTTCTCCAAGCTGTTCAACATATTACAACTACATACATCTTCCTTGTAATTCACTTCAAGCATCACTCCTGACTTTCAGGTCATTCTGCTAGCTTCTCTTCTTTTCCTGGAGAGAATTTAAACTCCTTGGCAAGGCACAGAAATTACATATAAACCAGTATGTGATTGGAAACTGCTTCTAATCTGTAACACAGCAGAAGTTCAGTGCACATAAACTGCTTTCAAAATGGCCAAAATTAGTTTAAGATGAATCTGGATGGATGTAGTACATAAACACCAACTTTTATTTTTGTTTGTGGCAGGGGGCTAAGATGATGAACATGTGGAAAGTTTTACACATTTCAGGTGACAGCCCTCTTCTTGGGGGAGGGGGTACAGGGCTCTCAGGCCCCCACATACTTGGCACTAGGGCTGTGTGAAATAGCACCATTTTGTTTAGACTTCCATTTCACCGTTTTGCCGGGATACTGTTTCGTTTTGAGTTTTATTTAATTTCAAAGCACTGTTCCATTTTGTTTAGTCAACTGCCTATAACTTTATCATTTTTTGGCAGATTTGAATGAAAATAGCAGGAA